AAGCTATTCCCCAGACCTTTCCTTCCGTGTGTCTGCTGTGTGGGTGCCAACTTTCAGGTTAGCAATCGATTGCAAACCACTCGCACCACTGAGGGTCATGAGTGGGTATTGAAATGGTGGTGTAAGGATACTCAAGAATGGTGAGACCATGAATTTAGGGGGTGGGGATAATAAAGTATCTGAAAAGAAAGACCACAAAAGGTAAATGAGATAGTTTAAAAGATAATATCTTTTAAAAAGCTTAAATATCTTTCAAAAAAAGTTTATCTTTCAAAATTTGTCAGTGCTAATTCTGACTTCAGAAAATGATAGAAGCATGATTTTCTTTCCCTACATTCTCTTGTATCTTTTTATTTCTCTGTTCTTTGACCTCAGAACTTAGGTTAGTTATATGATGGTGGCAACAAGCTTTGATAAAATAATTTGGGGACAAAACTAATATCGCATTAGAATTCAAAGTGCAAAGTCTTCTTAAATCCTTAGGAAATAAATTCATATAATTGATTACAAAAAACCTTTGGGAATACATGCTCATAAATTGAGAGCTGCTATTATGGACAACAAAAATGTAAGTACTTAGAGATGACTACTTGAGATGACAAAATGTAAGTACTATAGAGATGATGACTTTTTCTTTTCTCATATAGTTATCTTAGAACTGGGAGACATTGTAAAATGTTCATTTTAGATCACAGCTACATGTAAAATAATCCAAATACACATATGAAGACTAAGAGTAAATAAAGCATGATACATTATTCGGAGAGCCCAAATATTTCAATTTAAATTGTTCTTCGCTTTTCTATGTTGATAACATCATAGAATTTAGAGCTTATAAGAACCCAGTAAAAAGCCTCACACACACCTGACCTAAAAACCTGCTACATGGCCACAGTGGTCAAAACAGCCTGGTATTGTTACCATCAGCGATATATAGACCAATGGATAAGAACAGAAAACACAGACATAAATGCATCAGCCTACAGGCAACTAATCTTCGACATAGGACCTAGAAATATCCAATGGGACAAAGACAGCCTGTGGGAAACTAACAAATGTCATTCCCACAGATTCTCCCCTAACAGCTACGCTGACTTAAAGTGAGAACATGGTTGATTCTGTCTCCCTGTAGAGGCAGTCATTCCCTGATTATCTCATTGTCTTCCCCCACTGCAGGTATTAAGTTTCCTCACCTGTGAGCTCAGGGACTTTACTGTGATTACTACCCACCTTGTGATATACGTAACTCCTGAAATATACATGACTAATGGCTACCTATAAAAGCACCCAAACAATGAAGACACTCTCTCCTCTGGGTTCCCCTACTACCCTCTCCCCCCTTGGCTCCCTCTCTCTCCTGCCCTCTCCTCCTCTGCACCTTCACGTGGACCATCAAGAGAGGCAGAGGTGAGCATGCTACCATGAAACGTGTCTGACTCCTTTATTTTACTCTCTCCTATCTCTCTTATTCTCTATGACTTTACTATAATCTTTATATAGTATCACGTACAGTTGTGCCTACTGGACCTGTGATGATTTGTTAGGGGCTCGTTCCCCTCACAACAAATGGTGTTGGACAAACTGAATTTTCATATGCAGAAGAGTGAAACACGACCCATATACCTTCCCATGCAAAAACGAACTCAAGATGGATTAAAATCTTAAATGTAAACCCTGGAGCTATCAGGATCATCGATGAGGAAACTGGAACAAATTTAAGGGCCTTATTTCAGGGCATACAGCTACTGAGTATAATAAAGGAAGCAGACACAGCAGAAGACAAAATAGGTGACTGGAACATGGTGAAATTATATTACTTTTGTCATCAAAAGATTTCCTCAAAAGACTAAAACTAGAGCCCACAGATTGGGGGAAAAATATCAGTAACACATTGGACAAGACTCTAATTACAAAAATCTATAACTGTTCAAAAAGGAAATAAAAAAATGACCCAATTAAGAAGTAGGAGAAAGACATGAACAGATAGTTCACCAAAATGAAGTGAAAATGGCTAACAACACATGAAAAAATGCTCACGATCACTAGCCATATGGTGCAAATTAAAACAATGAGATAGCATCTTATGCCCCAGTGCTAGCCCAATTAAAAAAAAAACCCAGAAAACACCAAACGAGAGAAAGGAAATAATATACACTGTTAACGGACTTGTAAATACATACAACCACTATGGAAAATATGGTGAAACTTAAAGCAACTGAGAATTGAAATCCCATAAGATCCAGCAACACTACTATTAGGCACATACTCTGAGGAAATAAGTGAGACAACACCATGCTTATAGCAGCACAGCACAATAGCAAGAAACCAAATGCTCCAAAGTGGGAGAATGGATAAAGAAACTATGGTACATACACACAGTGGAATACTATGCATCCCTGAAAAAACAGTGATGAATGCATGAAACACCACGTGACATGGAAGGGCCTGGAAACCATTACGCTGAGTGAAGTTAGTCAATCACAAAAGGACAAATGTATGAGTCCACTACTATAAGGAGAAACACCATTTAAGCAAATCTTAGAGACCAGTTCCCAAACAAAAGCGTAGAATGTCTGCCTATCAGCCATGAACCATACAATACTCCCTTTATGTGCATTTCATAAGAACCACCTTGAAAGAGAAGACCTCACATTGGCTGGGGTCATTCCTGAAAGAAGGGGAAAAGGGAGAAGACCACCAACATGATGCTATATACCGTCATGACGTGGCTGCAACAAATCAATAGGCCATTCACAGGCAGGAGACGAGAAACGTACTGGAAAATCAAGTTAAGACCAGGGAGAGGAGCATCTACATTTAGGAGGAGGCACTGATATTTCTGATGGTGTTTAGGTGGATAAATGGGAAGAGCAACCTTGCATAGGGAAGCGATGCCAAACAATAATTGTAAGGAACCTAAGGGGAGAATATACCAAGTTCTATGTTCCTGGGTAGACAAGGAATGCAGGAGAGGGGATGAAGCACTAGAACTGATTATGATGATAGATACATAATCATAATATATATAAATATATATTTAACCATGGAATTGTATGATATGTGAATATTATATCAATAATTAAACTATTAAAAAAAATCAAACAAAACCAAAGTTGATCAATGGTTACTGTGGGTGAAAGAGGAAGAGGTTTTGCTTAGGGGATATTGAGTTTATGTTGATGATGGAATGATTTGGAAAAGGGGATCAATAATGGTTGTGCAAAATGAAGAATTTAATCAGTGGAACTGAATTATACATGTAGAAGTCATTGAAATGGAGAATGTTTTGTTGTGTATTTTTTGCCACAGTTTTAAAAATTGCACGAATAATAATGAATACAAGGAAGAAAAAAATGTCTTAAAATCAATATGGTAATGATTGTACAACTCTTCTTGATATGATTGAACTATTGAATTATACAATATGTGGATAAAGTGCCAATAACATTGTTAAAATTTAGAACTTATGGTAAAGTATATAATAATAGTTAATAGTAAATATTTTATTGGATTATGTAATACTGAAATATGAATTTTGGATCATAATAGAGAGTGGTAAAAAGTCCTTGAATGTGAAGGCATAAGTAACTGCGTGTGAATCTTGATCTTACCAATTTAAAGTTATCTGCCTTTGGTGAGGTATTTAGCATCTCTGAAATTTAGTTCAATTTTTACAAATTATTGTTGACAATACCAACATATTGTTGGCAATACTAATTTGTAGTGATGATGAAGTGATCAATTATGTAAGATACCTGATTTATAGTCATTGTGCAGTTAATGTAATTTTACTCCTTGTCTTATGTATTTTAAATACATCTTGAGAGTGGCACATCTTATGAAAATAATCTTTACAATTATTGATTTTAGTGAGATGGATGTAACTATGTAAACTTTGATTAATATACAGTTTTCACATTTTTGAGGTAGCTCAGAACTAAGTACAGTATAGTGTAGTTTAACAAAAGCTTGTTGTTATTATGAAGAATGAACAGGCAGCTGATTCTAATTTTACTAAGCACTGAACACTATCATTACATCTCATGATTTAATGAACTCACTACCAAAGTAACTAATTATTGCAAAGTTTTGTGTAAATATTACAAAAAAATTTATTGCCAAAGAGGAATGCAAAACTTTAAAAAAGCTTGATCTTGAATTTTATGATAGGGATAGGGATAGACAGAGAAAGTAGAAAAGTTTAAACAGTGGTTGATGTAACTTCAGGAATTTGCATAAATGACTGAAGGCATAGTTTTCCCCATTCTATAATTTCAGTTTTATTTTACTTAGAAGAGACATTGTACACATGGATAGCCATTTTTTTGTTTATCGTAAGAATTAGCATACAGTCTCACATGGCATAGCCAGTTACAAATTTGGCTGTTATCTCAAGGACAGCAGTTTGAATCCACTAGCTGCTCTATGGGGGAAAGATGAGGCAGTCTGCTCCCTAGGGAACAATTCTACTCCATCCTATAGACTTGTTATGTAGTCAGAATCAACTCTATGTCATTGTGTTTTTTGGTAGGTATCATTTTCAATGCACATATAAAATGAAATAAATCTTTTCTTAATATTGTATATATAATAAGTATATATATTCCAGTGAATGAGATCATATGATCTCCTAAAGAGTGATTTTGGACTCTAAGTACTTGATCCAAACATTTATTTTTACTTATTAAGTTCAGCAAGGGACTCTTATGGTACAGTGGTTAAGCACTCAGCTGCTAACCAAAAGATTGGTGGTTTGAATTCACCTGATGGCTCAGTGGGAGAAATTGCTGAAGATCTACTTACATAAAGATTACAGCCTAGAAAACCTTTTGGACCAGTTCTATTCTGTCACATGAGATATTTATGTGAAAACTCTAGGGTACCCAACAATTATAACATTAAATTTAGCATTTTGGAATTAATTTATATAAGTACAGGGACATATAGACCTATGTTTAAGGAAGAAGCTTGTCAACATCATTATACCAATTAATCTTTAGGCAATCCAGTGGTGTGAAGATGTTCAGCAATTGCAGTCTGAATGACTTTGAAAACTTCATTTCAAATATGCATGCCACATGTCTTCAGAATAAGCCACTGATGCAGAGAAAGCCTCCAATCTGTGGAAATGGAAAAGTGGAGGGTAATGAAGTCTGTGACTGTGGAACAGTAAGTCCTACAGCTTAGAAAATTGACTAATAGCTTTATTGTTTGAGTTTGTTTAAAATAACAAATGCTAGGTCTGTCATATATGACTGAGTACCATGCAGAACAGTGAAGCTAATTGCTATCAAGTTCAAGTACGATATGTACAAGAATATACTGTCTAGATTTGATGGGTTGAAGGAACCCATCACATTTAAAATATACTGCCAAGAAACTATTGGTGGGAAAAGAAAGGCTTAGGATGAGCTTTTATGTTTCAGACTAAATACACAAGATTTTCCAAAATATTTGCGGAAAATTTTTTTATCGATAAAATGTTTTATTGAAGGTAAATAAGTCAGTGGTTCATCAAATATCCCTCTGGTGATTACTCTGTAGTGGAATCAGTAGTATTGTGAGAGAATCTGTGTTAGTATTTGAAATAGTTAAGGTTTATTGTGCCAACCTGGCTGATAAACACATGTGGGATTAATTGAAAGGTGCAGAGATAAATGGCTTGGTGAATCTCGCATTTATAGTTCTTGGGTCTCTTGCTTTCTGATGGTCGGACCAGGGTGCAGCTGCCTTAGCCAGTTCCCTGATTCAGCTTACAAGGCTCACTTCCTGCAAGACAACCCTGAGAAGAAGCCACATGGACCTACCCCGATGCAGCCCTGGGTGCTGGAGCACCCGGGTGGAGACCCCTGCCAGCGCTGAAATGCTTACACGTTTACTGACTCGGCTTTCCTCCTGCAGTCGGTGTCATTGCGTGGGTTTTGTGAAACTCAAGAGGACTTTGTAGATTGGTGTAGGACATATGGGCTAATGTTGGACTTACGTGCTTGGACAGCACTGGGTTGGGATGTTATCTTAATGTACACTTATCCTGTATCTAAAACTCTCTCTTATACAGTATTGTAATCTGTTCATTGAGTTATTTGGATTATTCACTTGGTAAGGAAGGCTTGGAGCACAACTGGCATTAAAGTGGTGTCTGGCCTCCTCTGCCTTCACAAGGGTAAAGATAATCTAATTCCACATCTGCTCAGGCCTCCTTCTTCCAATCTTCTTTCCCTTATTCTGCCAATCCCATGGCACTCTTATTTCTCTGTTGGGTTTGTAACCCATTTCAATGGCCACACTGAACTCATAGATAATACTCATGATTATGGAGGAAAAGTTGAAGTTGTCAAGGGTTTTGTCTTGCTTGGATCCACAGTCAATGATTATGGGAGCATTGCGGTGCAAGACCTCTTTAGAGTATTGGAAAGCAAGGGTGTTAGTTTGAGGTCTAAGTTGCTCCTGTCCCAAGCCATGATATTTTTCAATGGCCTCGTATGCATGTGAAAGTTGGACATTGGATAAAGAAGAATGGATGCATTTGAATTGTGGTGCTAGAGAAGACTGTTTACACTCCCACGGACTGCTAAAAGGACAAACATCTGTCTTGGAAGAAGCACAGCCATAGTGTTCTTTAGAGGCAAGGATGGTAAGACTTACTTTGGACATCTTATCAGGAGAGACCAGTTCCTGGAGAAGAACATCATGCATGGTAAAGTAGAGGGGCAGTGAAAAAGGGGAAGGCTCTCAAGGTAATGCATTGACACTAGCTGCAACAACAGGCTCAGGCATGGGAACAATCAGAAGGATGGTCCAGGACCGGGCAGTGTTCCATTTTGTTGTGCATGGGGTGGCTATGGGTCAGAACCAACTGGATAGCACCTAACAACAGCAACAGAGAAGTTAACATGTTATAATCCAGGATAAAAAATGTTAACGCTGCAGTTCTTTTGCCCACGGGGCCTCTTCTTGGCATGCCAGCAGGTACTATCTCTGATCCTCAGCTTCTTAGCCATTCTGCACCTTGGCCTCTGACCTGCTGGGCCAAGTGTTACAAATCTCCTTTAGCACTGCTAACAGCCCCAAAGTCAACCCATGCTCTGCTAAAGCATTCATTTTCACTCTGCCTATGCTGCTGCCCCTCCTCTCAGGGATCCCAGCATCCAAAGCATGTGCTTCACGCATGGCTCTTCTTTCTTGATAGTCATGAGATTTCCCCATTCCTGCTACTGAGCTGGCTCACTTTGTACCCAGTGGAATTACAAAATCAACCCCAACACTAAACAATCCCCATACTAGAGATTCATGCATCATATTACCACGTTCCCCTCATTCATCCATACCAAGTAATTTCTCTCTGCCACACCAGGAAAAATAATAAGGTGAAAAATCTTGGGAAGGGTGCTTATTGATAATTTAGAATTTGAAGGATTGAAGAAGGTACCATACTTTTAAGATAGAAACTATAGAATTAATGAAAACATAGGTTTCATGTGTTTGTAGTTATATCAAACTATTTTAATTATTATGCTTTTGTATAGCAGTTTCTCATTTAGTAGAATAAGTCCACACAATGTACACTTTTAAATGCACCCACTTTTTTACAAGAATGTTCACTACAACTTAATTCATAATAGGCAAAAATTGGAAATGACACAAAATAATCTTTGACAGGTACATAGGTAAACAAAATAAGGCATATCCACATCACAGAACACTACTTTATTACACAGCAATAAATGATTGATGAGGGGCCTTGGGTGGTGTAGTGGTTATGCCTTGGGCTGCAATCCACACTGTTGGCAGTTTGAAACTACCAGAAGCTCTGAGGGAGAAAGACTGGGTTTTCTTTTTCCTTTTAAAAAAATTAAATACCTTTATTGGGGGTTCTTATATCTCTTATCACAATCTATATATTCAGCATTGTGTCAGGCACATTTGTACATATGTTACCAGCATCATTTTCAAAAAATGTTCTTTCTGCTTGAGCCCTTGGTATCTGTTGCTCATGTTTTCTCCCTCCTTCCTCTCCATCCCTCCTTCCCTCATGAACCCTTGATAAGTTATAGATTATTATTTTTGTATCTTACATCGTCCGTTGTCACCCTTCACCCACTTTTCTGTTGTCCTCCTGGGAGAGGGTTATATGTTGATCCTTGTGTCCCCCAACCTTCCCCTTATCCTCCTGGTATTTCTATTCTCATTGTTGGCCCTGCGGGGCTTATTTATTCTGGATTCCCTGTGTTGTGGGCTTTTATCTGTAGCAGTGTACATTTTCTGGTCTAATTCAATTTCTAAGGTAGAATTGAGTTCATTATAGTCGGGGAAGGAAGCATTAAAGAACTAGAGGAAAGGTGTGTGTTTCATTGGTGCACCCTGACTGACTCAGCTCTTCCTTGTGACCCTTCTGTAAGGGGATGTCCAATTGTCTAGAGATGGGCTTTGGGTCTCCACTCCTCGTTTCCCCACCCCCATTCACATT